TATAAGACATTCACTACTCTGAGAAGTGGACATCATGGTGGAGAGGCTGCATATAAGACATTCACTACTCTGAGAAGTAGACATCATGGTGGAGAGGCTACACATAAGACATTCATTACTCTGAGAAATGGACATCATGGTGGAGAAGTTACACATAACACATTCATTACTCTGAGAAATGGACACCATGGTGGAGAGGTTACACATAACACATTCATTACTCTGAGAAGTAGACATTATGGTGGAGAGGCTACACATAAGACAGTCATTACTCTGAGAAGTGGACACCATGGTGGAGAGGCTGCACATAGACATTCATTATTCTGAGAAGTGTAGTTTGCCAAAACTGGGATAGTAGGCTAAGAGTAAGCTGATCAAATAAGCTAACTTTAGGTAGTTTCTATTCAGAAAATCAGAAAACATATGTATGTATGCAGGTGAAGGAAGCATATATTCTGAGTAATCTGTTCGAGTTATAAAGATGTCAGCTTTATGAGACAACTGGAGTTTGTTAGTAGAGACCTAGTGCAATCTCTGTACTGAAGTTTAGGGTAACAGCTAGTCTCTCCAGAAAAACATTTTTATATATAAGGTTTGCTCTGTGATCAATCACTTTTTCCCTATTGATAGTGACATCTTTCAAAGTATATGCATTCTCAGTGCAAGAGTTGTTGCATACTAGCTGAACTTGATGAAGTCTGTCGTCTCATGCCCCAATCTCGATTCTTTGAATTCATTATGAATCATCCTTTAAACTGTATTTTTAAACCAATTTCCAGTTCTGACATCCCTGAGGTAATCAGAGGCAACTAGTATTGATAAAAGGTGTAAATTTCAAACCTTACAGCTTTATTATCAAACTCATGCTGTCTTGGAGATTCATGACAATCTAGCATTAAGTAAAATCTTTCTGCATAAGTGTTTCAATTTTTTGCAACCATTGTAAAGATTTGAATATTTTATTTTATTACAGTAATTTACTTTCTTTAGTTCTGTTAATTAGTTTTAGGTTAACTGTATAACTTAGCAGATAGTATATTTGTGTGACTTATAGGTAATAGATCTATTTTTGAATACTTTTGACACACTACTGCTGGTCTGTTATAAATGTGTTATTATCTCTTGTATTATCAGTATATTCTTCTTGTAGAATACACTCACACTACTGCTAGTCTGTTAGAAATATGTTATTACCTTTTGTATTATCAGGATATTCTTGTAGAATACACCCATACTAATGCTAGTCTGTTATGAATGTGTTATTATCTCTTGTATTATCAGGATATTCTTGTAGAATACACCCACACTACTGCTAGTCTGTTATAAATATGTTATTATCTTTTGTATTATCAGGATATTCTTGTAGAATACACCCACACTACTGCTAGTATATTAGAAATATGTTATTACCTCTTGTATTATCAGGATATTCTTCTTGTAGAATACAACCACACTAATGTTAGTTTGTTAAAAATATGTTATTACCTATTGTATTACCAGTACTTTATTCTGTTTGTAGGATACAGACAAACAGTATTGTTAGTGACAAGTTTTTTAAGATTAAAACAACAATAGTGGAAGAAATGAGTGATTATTTAAAGCAAATTTTATAGGAATTTTTAGGTTACCTTTGTAAAACTGCTTTGTTATTTAATAATGTATAGTGTTTGACATTGGTTTATATGTTCGAGATGATAACAGTTTAGCTATCTTTCTCATGTGTCTGCCAGAGATTTGCATGCCACTAGCCTAGAGTCAACTCCCACCTAATTTCATGTGAATTACACTGGAGCTTGATGACATCATCATGTAACAAAAGCCCCCCACCAAGAGGAAGGCAACACACCTCTGTGCACAATATCTCCTCCTATGCACTTATATCATTCTTCTTGCCACTGTATTGAACAGACATTTAAATTGTTTGTTTGAGTTCGTTTTATTGAGACTTGCAACATTAACAAACATTTTTTTTGTTTTCCGTGGCTTTAATTTTTATTGTGAATTCTCAAATGACAGTAATTTAAAATTAGTCCTGAGTGAGGAACGTGACTTGCTTAAACCTTATTTCTACTATGACTTTAGGAGGTTCTTTAATTGTTGGGGTCGTTGCAGCCATTTTTAAACATGTAGATTACAACATGCTTACTCAGCCTATACCATTAGCCTAATTTCGAGAAGGATTTCTTGGAATGTGACTTTCACCTGATTTACCTTGGGTAGTACCTTACCATTCTTGAAACAACCTTAACCTTCCAAGTTAACATTTTCTTTACCTGAAAATGTATTTTTGATAGATACTCATCTACACACACATTCTCACCCATCCTCGCATTTCTGGTGCTCCATTTTGTCTTGCTTCATCAAAGAATGAAATTACCATCAGTGCAAGTGCATAGAGAGAGTTATTGTGCATGGAGGTGGAGGAATTGTTTCCAATGTTGATGTGATTGTGTACAAGTGCAATTAATGTTAAATTGTGTGAAATTAGATGGGAGTTTGCTGTAGGCTAGTGGCATGCAAGTCTGTCTGGCAGATGGACAAGAAAGCAGCTAAACTGTGTGGGGAGGTGAGTTACTGTCATAGAAATATACTTTCAGGTAAGGAAAATATTAACTTCTGTGTGGTTAAGTTGAAATACTGCTGTCATTTGAATTATTGAATTATTTTTTAGCATTGCTGCTTTGTGTGTATTTAGTAACATCTATAAAGATTTTAGGACTTCTTGATTCGATGGAGACTTCAGTAAAAGTGTTGAGTATTTCTATTCTTTAAACAATCTTGAAGATACAGTGACAGTCTTCCAACTGCCTAAAAGCTTT